CTTGCTCTACAAACTGGTTTGTTCTCTTCATCCTTAAACTTGTCCAGCTTCTCTATAAAAGTAACCGTTACATACTTCTACTGAGTTAGGTTGCCCTGGGAGGTGCGAGTATTTTCAATTAACCAAGGAACATCCTATTTGTTGCTGGCCGGTTGCAATGCGCTCGTGGCGGTCGGCCGACCGGTCCTCAAAATTAAACTTGTGGTGCTAAAACATCACGCACTTTCTGGCCCAAATTTCCACGCAAAATAACGCGAAAAGTACATAATTTTTAAAAAATTGGTCATAACCTTATTTCAAAATTATCTTTAAGGAACAGATTCCATTAACAGAAAAAATATCTGCACAATTTGAGTTAAAGGACGAACAATTTTAAATTTTAAAAAATCAAAGTTTTCAACGAGGATAAACGTCTTTCTTAAATGTTCTTCATACCATCACAGAAAAATATTAATCAAAACCGATGCAGACACTTTTTTTAAAGTTTTGAATGAAATGCTCCAGGGGCTGAAACGTAGCCTCCAAACTTGAAATATCGGTTTCGAATTCAAGGGGCCGTGACATCAGCCAGATCGATTGAGGAATTTCAATTTTAGAGAAAATCGGATGAACGGTTTAGCGCTAGCGTTGTTCACTGGCGGGCAGGTACAGACAGATGAAAAAACGTTTTGTCGACATTCGATTTTTCTGCATCAACAATTCACAAAACTGGAATCTGACTACACCATGTATTAGATGATTTTTTGCTACATTTAACAACTGGATTTATTCCCTCTTTTTTTCAGGACCCTGTAACACGAAATTTTCTATCCAAAATTCGCCGTTCTTTTGTCCAGCATTACATAATTTTCTCTCTACTTAGTAGTTAAAAAGGAAAACTTGTTGAATGAGCACTGTTAATTACAACATAAAATCATCTGATTATTAACAAAGTATGAGATAAATTTAACTGGGAAATAGTCTGTGGTTAGGTAAAATAAATAAATGAGTAATGGTCAAGAAAAGTTCTTCCTCACAAGTGAAACCAATGAATGAATATAGTTTCTGAAACCTGCGTCAGTAGAACATTTACTGAATAAAACTTCTTTTTATGTAATATAACTATTCTAAAAACCGGATATTTCCTTTCTGACTGGTATTGCAGCATCGTAATAAAATATATACTCTAACTGTATTAGACCCTGTTGTGAATGAAGCAAACATTAATTTAACCAAGAGTATAGAGTTTGTGTTCAGTTCAAGAATATTCAAAACAAATTATAAATCAATCGTGGTATAGAATCGGGATTTTTTGTAAAAACAACCACAGTCCGAAACATAATTTTTTAGGAAAGAGAATACACATTCCATGACAAAATTGGTAGACATTTTTTCTGTTCTTTCTACGTCTGACGAAGAATCCATTTATTAGTTGTAAGTTTTCCCTTGCTTGCTCGTAATCATCAGTTGCAGATTGGAGTAAGCTATTTTGAGAAATAATCTTCAATCTAGAAAAAGCTATCTTCACTTCTCTACATCCTAACACTCTCATACCCTTGACCGTGCTAGCCTAAACCTCGAAGAAAGTCTTAACATAACTAAACGACTAAATAAACAAACGGATGATTAAAGATCTTCATTCTATGGAAAAGACTAAGACCGAGAGCGGGCAGAATAAAGGTGAATAGGGCGTGTAGGGAAAAAAGACAAGTAGTGATGAAGTAGAGGAACGGAGTGAAAGGGAGATAGATGGGCAAAGCGGCAGGTATGTTATAGTCGGATAGGGCATGCGAGTGAGGCGAGCAAAGAGTCCTAAGTGGGAGGAACCTAGTGGAAGAACTGGATGGTCGGGGCGGGAAAGGACAGTATAGACAAGGCAGCACGGATGGAGCGTGCGAGGAAGACGGGCGAACCTAGTAGGGTGGAGGGTAGGGAGCTAAGTCTTCTGAAGAAAAAAAACAACAAGTTTTCTTTTTATATATTTTAATTTTAGGGAAGGAGTAAGCCAATTTTTGTCCAGAACAAATAAGGGATTCTCAGTATCCGCCAAGTCCAATTAATTTTTACATAGCATTTTGATATCTAACAGAATTTGCAAGACAATTTAACAAAATTTGCCATCATTGACAGAAGTATATCATAAGTACATTACACAACTTGAACCATGCAACACGAAATTAACCGTAATCTGAGTATACAATACATTTTTTTCCAAAATGATACATTTTGAAGAAATTGTGTACAGTAATACATTGCTTTCATATTTGCCAGAGCAACATTACTTCACTGTCAACTTAAACATAGTTCGGTCTTACTAGCTATTCGAGTTTTATTACTATACTCCATTTATTATAACCATTCTTCTGCTTTTAAAATTACTTTTGGCAGTACCCAGTGGTGGTATTTTAGAAGGTATTGCTAAAACCTAGTTAAACTGAAGGTAATGGGAGAAGGTAAGGGGCTATTTTCATTGTTATTACCACAAACATTCTAAAAGTTAAAATTCATGGTAATACAAAACGGCAAATACATTTTAAAATATTTTGATCACTATCAAATAATTAGAAATGAAGTGGAAGGGGTAATGTTAAAAAATAATATCTCCAAGTGTAGTACGAAAAAAAAAGATCTTTCCTCTCTTGAGAAAGAACATCCAAAATTTCTCGGTCCCATCGACCACAAATGGCGAGGCACCAAGCTGCGAATTACAATACATTATAGCTCCAAAACTTAAGTCACTCAAAAGTCGTAAGGAACTCTGCGAGTCCCATAAGAATAACTCAATAAGGCTCTTGCCAAAACGAGATACGCAGCGCTCCACACGGGAAAAACTTCCTTCGGAAACAAGTACTGTTCTCGCATAGGTTCTATGCAACGCCAGAGAAAAAATTCGCTTAAAAAAACGTTCTACAATATTAATTTTTGGTATTTTTTTAATTTGTGTATGTTGCGTGAATCAATGTACCTTTAAAGAGACCCGGAGCTTTTTGTACAATTCTAAACGTGCCTTACACATTGGCATGATTTCTACCATAATAGTTTGTTGTAGCGCATACCCTTAAAGCAAATACTATATGAATGTGCTAAAATGATAAAATTGTTATCATTACAATTTGCGTATTTCTCATATCGTGTTTTACTTCTTCACACCACGTTTAATCCATTGACACAAATATATTCTTCCTTACTGCCTTACTAGTAAACTCAACACCAAAATACACCACATCGTAAACGAAGATTCTGAGTTTTGATCATATAAATGTGTGAAAATTCTTAGAAATAAACCTTAGACAATAGTTTCGTTTATAAACAATATGTTCCATTATTCCTTCAATTTTGGGAATACACTGAAATAATATTTGAGAAACTTTCAGAACAAAGTTCAAAAGAATTCTTTTTTCAGTCCAATTTGTGTACTTAATTGTCACGTACGCAGTAAGCTTAACACTACCATTATGTAAACTGCGAATGCATTTTGTTCAAAAGCAATTTACACTTTTAAAGAACCATAACATGTAATAACAATGCATTTTTATGCATGCACACATGAAATGGAAATTCATCATAGAATAAATATATCATAGATGTTGAGAAAACTCATCCCAAACTGTTTAGTTCTTCATGATATTTCATTTTTTACAATGATCTGTAGCAAGCTTAAAAATAGTTTTATCCCCAATACCATTACTTCTGTTCAAAGTTAAATTCCGTATTTAATACTAAGTATATAATATGCTTAAAGAATATATATCATGGTCTTCTAATAAACACTTAGGTCATAAAAAGCACATTAGTAATGCTAGTACTTTGAAGTTCTCGTTTCCTTAACCAAATACCACATTCAGTACACCATTGCCAGTACTGAGTGAAGAGGATAGATTTCGTTTCTTGTATTAATATTCAATACCAGTAGTAAAACTTATTCTGACACTCTTTGACCATTATATACATATCAAGTTTTCTCGGGTAAGTGCGAAACCCATTCGATTGGTTGTATATACCAGAGAAATACCAGTTGGCATCTTTGAAACGTTGCCTTTGTCTCTCCTATATGATTACCATCCTTTGTAACCAACACCACCAACGTATTACATAAATTCACACTCAAACACTTCATTAAATCATTTAATTCATGCTGACATGCGTTTACCATTATATAAAATCACGTTTTTCATGTCCAGAAACCTTTTTGGATTCTGTTGCATACACCAATAACAAAAACACCAGTGCGCACTTGGAAATTGTTTTGTTTAATTTCCCTAAACGAGTACATTTTGTAATCAACATTTTGAACTTATTCTATACATGCCACACATTTCGCTTCGCTATACTTAATTTTAATTCATGTTTATATCCGTCGACTCACTCGTTTTGTCCGGCCAGTATTAAACCATTTCGACTGTTGCATAGACCGAAGACAGGTTCACCGAAGTACTCCTGTTGGTAGTTCCCTTTGATACGTACAAAGTACGCCTGCGAATATTAATATAATACCAGATTTTGTAACCAACAATATTAAATTAAGTTTTAAATGCGAATTGTTCGCTTTATTACACTACTTCATTTTAATTTAGGTAGATATTCGTTGATCATTATAAGAACACATTGTGTCAGTTTGGAAACCCTTTAATTCTTGCCTAGACCAAAGACCAACAATAGCAGTTCACATCTGCGAAACAGTTTCCTTTTGATTTGTCTTAGACACACCACTTGTTAACAACAATGTCAACTAATTATACGCATATACACTCATTACTTCCATTACCACTTAATTTATAACGCGTTCGTCGCCAATTGCAGTGACACAGGAACCGTCGAAGTGCGCGTAGCCAATGGCTAAAGATCCCAAGCCAATAATATACGTGGACGTTTTTAAAATAATATTGTAACATCACTAGCCATACCACTAATTTCTTTTGAACCATGATCTCAATCATTATTTTACATACCAATGAGTTATAAATCGCATACAAGTCCTCGCTGGCGCATAGGGTATAAGTCTCATTCGAGAACGCAGGGTCCAAGAACCGTGTAAGCAAGATGCGTTTTAATCTTGGCTGTAATATCTTGCTTCTCGCATCTTTACATACCTACCTAAATATCACCCTATGCAATATCCTTGATGTATCTTCATTGAGAATCCGAAAGCATCTTTCCAACCTTCAAAAAGAACTAGAATTTCAACCACCACTGAGCACCAGCCTCACACGCGTTTTTGGTAGCTGCCGCGCTACCCATTAAGAAGTTTCGGTAACGTTTTATTTACTTACAACCACTCATAAAACCAAAACCTAGTAATTTGCACACGTTGGATGCATAAGTAGCTTTGATCTTAATTGCAATGTTTACAAACACTTAATCTAGAGTTTTTAAATCAGACACTAATAATTCTTAAATCAATCTAGTTGTAAGCGTATCCTCTTCCAGGTAGAACGTAGCATCTATTGCCTGTTGAGGAGGAAAGATGGCCGTCCTCAGAAGATAAACGTCTTACACCACTGGAAACAAAAATTGCTGTTGGAGAACTTTTCGACAAACCGCTAAAGTGCCGAAAAATAATTTGCAACTTCCGTTTCTCATTTCCTTTTGAATATCATCTCTTAGGAGCAATGAAATTTGTTGTCAATCAAAAACAATGCGATGAGCACGAACATATTCCCTATTAACGAGAATTTCCCGAAATCTAAAACAAAAAAAGTTAAACTACCATGTGTGTTAGTATGGCATGGTGATCAATGATCAAATAAATTCTGTAGTTCTGTAGTCCATTAGAATTATTTAGTTAAGACAAGTTTTTAAATGCGTGATACACAGAAGTTACCGAAGGCCGATCAAAAAAGTTTCGTGAGTGAATCGGGGCAGATTTAATATTTTACGGGGCACTGCGCATGGACAATATGGAAACGCCGTAAATAGTTAAGTAGTTCTATCAAATTTTTTTATAAAAACAAATTTTACACAAAAATATAAAATTTGTTTAGATATTATGAATTTTGTAGTAAAAAATTTTAGCAGGGGGTGTTTAACACCTGCTGAAGGATGTTTGTGCATTACCCTATGTCTAGCGAAATTATGGAAGTTTGTTCAATTTCCTGGGGTACTGGAAAACCCGTATTATCCTGAGGTAAAACGACGCATTAACAGGTTAATATTAAATCCAACATACCTAATCCACATTGCAATCTTAGGCATCCGCGGTCAGTGTCATGTGAAGGCTATCGGCTGTCTGACACCGCATCGAGGGCACTGATACAGACGTTCGACAATCCTGTCGTGGCACTCCAGCCCTGAAGACCACGACAGGGAGGTCAAAACGTCGGCATCCATAACCTCGACGCATTTTCACCTAGTTCAGACGAGAGCGTGGATTTAACACACATTTTTCCGTTTCTTATTATCTCTTTTCAGCTAATAAAAAGTAGCATGTCCTGTTGAAATTTCGTTAGCACACGTCGGTCATGAGATAATATTACAAAGACCAATGGTTACACTATGCTAGCCTTTTCTTGCTAGAAGGCGGTAGCGGAAATGGTGCAAGAATGAACTAAAAAACGTTCAGCAATAGTTTTGTAAACAGAACGTGAGATTTAGTGGAACATCACGTATTTATGCCCTGGGGCAAAACAAAAAGTTTTTGTTCTTGTAAGTCACTAAGATTATGAAACTTACCAAATCACGGACTATTTGTTTCGAGGTCTGGACTCCGCAGAACGCCTTCCTGCATTTGGAACAGTCTTTTTCTGGTATACGTTTCAGATTTCCAATGAGCAGTCGAGCCTGAAAATAATTTTAAGGTTTTATTGACTGAAACATCCTCGCCGTAAAAGTTATCTTTACGAGCAAAATATTTTATCCTAGTTTAAACTGTATATACTGCGCCCATTAATTTAATGCTAACAAGAGATTTTTTCACAAATCGAGAGATATCCATCATATAAAAATAACATCTTGTTTCGTCCAAGAGTTGAAGGCATGATAAAAGACCGAAAAGTTTTAAAAGCTTATATAAAGCAAAATATTGCCCACCTTTGAAGACTGTATACTAAGTTGGTACAAAGTATTTTTTGTAAAGCTTTTCATCTAAATGAAATATTGTGACCAATTTTAATATTTTGGGTGTAAATTCAGGGTCATAGTGAGTGGTTAAGTCCGGGTTTATATTTTATGTAAATTTTCTTACGGTAACGTTTATTTGACTAGTCCTTCACTGTGCCAACTTCTTTCAGTCTCATCGGATACTCGCATACCATCTTCGGTCTCAGGTTTTATTTTTCGTCATCTTGTACGAGTTCTCTCGAAGTTCCAGGACTGATAATGGACTCGTTCCAGTTTTCTTTCACAAGATCCTAACCAAATTTGAAAGCAATTCAACATTTATTACGGACTATTACGTATATTAATGGTACGTGATGAGTTGGAAAGAAATGTGTGGAAATCGGGAACCTTCGAAGTGTTGCTTGCACGTGCGTATAAAATATGGATGATATATAGGATAGAAGCTGATAAGTATTATTTAGAATGTGATCTCCATTAAAAGGAAGATGATGGAGATGCTTTGCACGAGTAAAGGCAGAATTAGAGAATCGTGGATGGAATTTTCAATTAAGAGAACAAAAGATTGAAAAATAGAAATAGCAAGGTGGAGGTTGTGTTTACATTATCAAATAGGAATATATGTCTTCAAAGGGTGGCACGAGTTTGAGAAATAACGGAAAGTAGAGTAGTGAAACTAGGCAAGTAAAGAAGCGTCGTAAGTTTATGAATGGACAAGGGAATGAGTATACGGTTGGTAGGAAAACTTTTCTTTAAGTGAAGATGAGAGAGGCAGGTCATGATGTAAATAGCTCTTCTCTACTGGTAATAAGGGAATTTTATGAAACCTCCCAACACTATTTTGGAGGAGATAATGTATGCAGTAAGCGGTAAATGATTAAACTGTCAGGAAAAAGGGAAGAGAGAAAGGAACAGAACAGAAGAAAGAGGACAAGAAAGTGAAGTGTAGAGAAACGAGAAGAAAAGGGAGAGGCAGGAAAGCAGGACTACGTGATAACAAAAATAATAGGAGGATAGAAAAGAAAAAGAAAAATATTTTCGTAAATGAAAGAGAAAATAAGGTGATAGAGGAGAAAAAAGGGGCACAAGAGTAGGGGAGATTCCAGGAAATCAGAATTCTTAAAATGTAATAAATACCGACGAAAGCCGCTCAGGGTGTAGCACGTTGACTTTGCATATGAGAGGCTCGGGCCCTATTCCCGTGTCGGCCATCCTGATTGGAATTTGCGAGGTTTTCCTCCGTCATCCAGGTGTATGCTGGGATGGTTCTTCCATGACCGCCAAATCGTCACCGCTTGCCGAATTCGTTAACTACGTAAAGTAGCGATTTCGAGACATCGCGAGTTCCTGGTTGGGTGACCTACTAGGAACTCCAAGATCGCGCCGAGGCCAATTACTCATTATTGAACGTAATGTCTAAAAACAAAATACAAAACAATGGTGAGATAAAAGAACTTTAAATTAAGCAGAAATTGAACTGTTGAGAAGAGAAATTTGGTGTAGTGAATCGAGAAAACGAACTTCCCTGATCGAAAGGGTTGAAAGGGAGAGGTAAAGGACGGGTGAAAATATAGAAAGATAGAGGGATGTGTGTATATACTTATAATCGATACCAGTATTACAATAGTTGAGGCAAAAATATGACAATAAGTAGATAGGAACCAATTTATAAAAGGGAGATATAAAAACGCTGGTGGTAAACAATGGAAGAAAAGAAATGTGGAAGAGAAGAAAGGAGGAAAGAAAATTGAAAAGCCCGAATATAGATTAGGGAGTAATCGGATATTGCAGTCCATGTAGTGGTGAAAAGCGGAGGAGAGAGGGATGGTTAATGCAAAGATTAGAAATAAGAGAAGCATTAGGTATTTAAGAATAAATAAATTCAAAATACGAATTTGGATAAAGGATAAAATTTCCGTTACGAACAGAAAGGCCTGGAAATAAGACTAACGGAAGGAATAAGAAATAATGGTAAGAATCAGGATAGATTGTGATGGTCGGAGTGAGATTAGAATACAGCAGAGTAAAAGATAAAGAGGATAAGTTTTTAGTTTAGAAAATTTGTCAACTACGGGTACGTTATCTAGTTGTATATTGCCTTACTTACCTTGCCACATAAATCGAAATGTTTATATAGATTCACGAAGAATGGAATTTCCACACAAAACGCTATTCCAGATGTCTTCTGTGAACTATATATTAATATACTCTTTCTTCTCAAAACTTCATGAAAATGATGTAAAAATGGCTTTTATTTGTTTGTTCAAAGGTAATTTTCTTTCTACTTCCAATTGCAAGTCATTTTGGTCTCGCGCTCTTAGTTTTCAATATATTCGTAATTTTCTGTGTTTCTCGTTAAGTACCATGCTTCACTGATCTATCAGCAGCAGGAAAACAATATCTTAAGAACTGTTTATGATTTTCAAATTTCCATGCACCCTGAAGAATCAAATCTATTGCCTGAAAAAGAAATTTATTTATTATTCCATTGTTTTAAAACCATCTGTACTTGTCATAATCCAAAAACTCCCAAAATGACGGTCATGCAACAAAATGCGAATAATAGGGTGTAGTGTAACCAAAATCTATTACATTATTTGATAATTAAGCTTACCTACTTTAAGAGGCTTCTAATAACAAATCATTAATATTTCTTATTCCCCGAGATAAGAAGTACACAAAAAATACTATTTAAAAAAAAAGCTTAAATTTAAAATTATTTGCATTGATGTGTAGGTTATAACAATGAAAACTAAAACAAGTGCGGCAAATTAGTGATATGCAATTACGAAGTTTAAATAGAAGAGTCGGGTTCTCAATGATTCGATATAGAAATCAAGATAGTTGTTTTCCAAAGACTATTATTGGAGAAATAGACCAATCCTTACTGCACCTCCTGCTCGTTTCTGTTACTCAAACATTCAACAATATATTCCGCGCAACAAATAAATGTTACCTTTCCAGCTACAGAGCTTAAAATAGTATGCTTTGCTTTTGAGGGTAACTCTCAAATTCATGCGGTGGTATACTTCACTTTAAAATTTTCATTTTGTGGATATAGGATGCCACTTTCGATGGGTTAATGCTAGCTTATTATATTGACTGACGGGCAATTCCTAATCATTTATAACCTGGACTGTAGGATATATTCCCGAAGGGTGAGCGTGTAGTGAATTTTTTGAACCCCAGAAATCTATATTGTACTGTACCATGAATTCTTTTCCTTCCAGCACCAAGTTCAGTTTCAATCTGGCGACTTCTAATGTCCTCATTTACTCTTGTTTATGCTTCCTCCAAACATCTGGAATGTATCTAGAGTAGGACCTCCAACAAAGTTTGCGATTTCACCAAAAAGGCAGCTTCCTCGTAATTCACTTGGACCACTTTCGTTAGCAACTGTTTCATGACAAAAACAAACCTGTACTTTAAAAAAATCTTTCACACTAATAAAACTTCTTGGAATAATCACCATCGCAAATTTGATTTTGATGAGCATGCGCAATGAACACCCTAAAATTAATATTATTCGTCTTTTTTCTACTTACCAAGATAGATTATCAATCCTTGAAATAAATGTTATATTAAGTATTATTACTACGACTATAAACCTTGCTAATCATGCAAATAAACCGTTATACCCAGTAATATTTTACTACAACTTAAATAACAAGACAGCTTACAATCTAAAATGATGAAACTGATACTGCTGTTGATGACACTGAAAATTAACATTGAGTAAACGTTTACTGCGACAATTCATCTAACAAGACAGTCTACGAATCCTGAAAAGTAAATATAAATTACATAACTAGTAATGTATTAATACGACAATTCATGTAAGAAGATAGTTTATCAATCCTGAAAATAAACTATATATTGAAATGCGTTTTACTTCATGTCTTGTAACACACTGCTTACCAGTACTGAAATAAATGTTATATGAGTATTACTACGACCAGAAACCTTGATTCAATTCATTGAGTAGTCTTAGACGTCTTCAGTAATCTTACGACATTTCATCTAAGAAGGAGGCAAAAGTTACCAATACTGAAAATAAATGACAAATACAATTATTTACTACGTCAATTCATCTTACCAATCCTGAAAAGTAAATATAAATTTATGTTTCGAATAATCTCTTAATACGATAATTTGCGTAACAAGATGGCAGCTTACCAATTCTGAAAATAAATATAATGAGGAATCTATTGCTAATACATTTTATGTAAAAAGACACCGCCTACTCATCCTGGAAATGAATTATGTTTTGAGTAATCCGGTAATACGATAATTCATGTAAAACGATGACAGTTTATCAATCTTGAAAAGAGGAAGAATATTAAGAATTTAAAAAATAAAGATATATTGAATAATCTTATAATGCAATAAGTTATTTAATAAGATACAGCTTATCAACACTGAAATAAATGTTACATTGGGCATCTTAAACTTCGACCAGTAATCCAACATGACATATCTTACTAATCCTGAAAATAAATGTTATATTAAGTAATATTTTACTACAATTCGTCGAACTAGCCATACCTTACCAATCCTAAAAGTAAATGTTACATTGAGTAATCTTACTACGATAATTGATCTAACAAGATAGCTAAATCTACAAATATTGAAAATAAATGTCATACTACAGTATAATTATTTACTACGACAATTCGTCCACCAGTAAGAAACATTTCTAACCCTACAAATAAATGATACAGAGTAATCGTTTAAGACAATTCATCTAACATGACAGCTTACCAATGCTGAAAAGTGAATATAAATTATATTTCGAAAAATCTCAATTATTTGTGTAACAAGATATCTGTGGCAGCTTCAAATTTCTGAATATTTTTATTATAATGAGGAATCTATTGCTAACATTTTATCTAAAAAGACACCGCTTACTCATCCTGAAAATGAATTATGTTTTGAGTAATACGGTAATACGATAATTCATGTAAGACTATGACAGGTTAGCAATCTTGAAAAAGAGAAAGAAAATTAATTAAAAAAACGATATATTGAATCTTTTACTGCAACAAGTTATTTATTAAGAGGCAGCTTATCAACACTTAAATAAATCTTATATTTGGCATCTTGAACTTCGACCAGTAATGCAACATGACAGATTAAAAATCCCGAAAAATCAATGTTGTAATATTGAGTAATCATTTATTACAATTCGTCAAACTATCCACAGCTTATTAATCCTAAAAGTAAGTGTTATATTGAGTTACTACGACAATTCATCCAACAAGTTGGCGAAAATTACCAATACTGAAAATAAATGACATGCTACAGTATAATTATCTACTACGACAATTCATCTATCACTAAGAAACCTTTCTAACCCTGCAAATAAATGTTATATGGAGTAATCTTTTAAGACAATGCATCTAACATGAGAGCTTACTAATCCTGATAAATGAATGGAAATTATATTTGAAATATTTTCTTTATACGACCATATATAAAACAAGATGGCAGCTTAAAAATTCTGAAAATAAATATTATATTGAGGTATCTATTGCTAATATATTTTATCTAAGAAGACACCGCCTACTAATCCGGGAAATGCATCATGTTTTGAATAATATGGTAATACGATAATTTATGGAAGACTATGACAGCTTACCAAACTTGAAAAAGAGGAACAAAATGAATTTAAAAAAATTATATATTGAATCTTTTACTGCAAGAAGTCGGCGAAAATTACCAATACTGAAAATAAATGACATGCTTCTGTATAATTATTTACTACAACAATTCATCTAACAAGGCAGCTTACCATTACGAACAATGAAAGTTATATTGTATATAAAGTTATACTATGACAACTCATCTATCACGACGAAATCCTTCTAATCCTACAAATAAATGTTATATAGAGTAATCTTTTAAGAAAATTCATCTAACATGACAGCTTACCAATCCTGAAAAGTTAATATAATATATTTCGAATAATCTCTTTATACAACAATTTATGGAACACGATGGCAGCTTACCAATTCTGAATATAAATATTATATTGGGGAATCTATTGCTAATACATTTTATCTAAGACGACACCTCCTATTAATCCTGGAAATGCAACAAGTCATTTAATAAGACGCAGCTAATACATCTAACAATACACAGCTAATCAATTCTCAACCAACAATTTTATTGTTTAAGTTTACTACGACAATTCATTTAAGAAGATGACAGCTTACCAATCCTGCAAATAAGTTATATCGGGTAATATTTTGCTACAATTGACCTACACGATTATCGCGTACCAATAATGAAAAGAATTATAAATGTAATTATTTGTAATAAGACAATTTAATCAGACGCAGATTACCAATCCTGAAAGGAAACGTTATATTGAACAATCGTCTACTACGGATATGCATGAAGCCAAACACCGCTAACCAATCCTGAAATAGATTTTATTCTGGGTTATCTTTGATTACGACAATTCCTCTAACACAACACAGCTTACCAATCCTGAAAGTATGTTTTATTGAGTAATTTACCTAAATCAAAAAAGGTTGAACTGAAAGATTATTTTAAATGACAATTCCTAACAAAGACTAACGTAGGTAATTACATTCATTAAAGTATATTGCAACCATTTTTTCCGCTTGAAAATGATATTCACAGTAGTTTACTTAGGAACGCACGTGCCAATCAATTTCTAAGACTGTTGGCCTTTTGACCAAATGCAATGATGAATTATCGGAATTTATTGTAAAAATTTCCATCATTGAAGCTAATCTTATACGAGGCATTACAAAAACGTGAAAAAATGTAGAAAGCAAAAAATACATTCTATTTAATACCTTATGAAAATCTAAGCAAAATACATATGTCCACATGCAATTACTGAACTAATATACAAAGTTCCAACACCGAAGATTAAGCAGCTTAGATTACTTATTACAAAAATTAAAGAATGATAGGCGACAGATACCTTACAATTCATAGTCATGCATGTGTGCGCAAAATACCTTTCATGTCCGCATGTTAATCTCGCAACCGAGACTGTAATTTTCGGCCTTTTAACTCCAAAATTATGTCGTAGCAAAAGACCAACTCCCATATAAAATAGTACCAACGCTTAGATCTGATTTCTGCGCTTTCTTTTGATTTCGCATTTTTATCATATGTGCGCTTGCACAACATCTAATCTGGGATTCAGAAGTCGAAGTTGCAAGTACATAGTTTGCAAGCATTACACAAGGCTAAACCGGGTGACACTAG